GAGGCCTCGCCGCTCCCCCCCACCCCCAACCCATCACCCCGCCCTGGAAAGACCCTACTTGTTCAGGAGCACCACATCTGGGAGCCACACGGATCCAGCCGTGATGCGCAGTAAATCGATGCCTTCGTAGTCGGCGGGGTCCCAGGTCAGCCTGTAGTCATTCCACTCCTAGGAAAGCAGAGGCCGAGGCGGGCTGTCAGGGGCTGGAGGCTGGGGGGAACCTTGGAAGGTCTGAGGGAAGCGTGCAGTGAGCACGAGGGTGGGGGACAGCGCAGGTGTGGGTGAGATTCCGGAGGCCGGGAGTTCTGGTTCCGGCTCCCCCTGCACTGGCTCGGACTCCAGCAACCAAGGGATGTGCCCTTGACTGGAATCGAACCTGGGACCCTTCAGTCCAGGCTGACGCGCTCTATCCACTGAGCCAAACCGGCCAGGGCTTAGTTTAGCCTTTCTCCTCTTTGATTGCTTGCTAGATTTGCATAGCAAATGGTTAGTTAAAACCCAATGGAATTTCACCCGATGGTTGTCCAGCATTCACAGGGTCCCCTCCGTGCCCTGCTCTTTCCAATTCGCCGCCTGTCCACTTGCTGACTTGGCAGTATGTCCACGAAGCGTCTGCCAGCTCTGCAACCTGCCAGCCAGGCTTGTGGCTCCTCCTTCCGCCCAATGTGAGGGTCTCCGTGTAAATAGAACAGGATGGGGGGTTTGGGAGCAGAGGACGCGCCCAGCCTCCCCCATAAAGTCATGCCGTTCCAGGCCAGCATTCTCCTGGCCCGGGATTGTGGATGGAGCCCTGTGGCTGCATTTAGGAGTTTCATTTCTATCGATCAGATGAAATCAGGAGATGGAAACTCTACAAAGCTTAGTTATGTAGCTTCTTAACATTAAATTCTGAGGCATTCAGGCTGTGTTATTCTTCATTGGTTTGGGAATTTAGTTGAGAAGTTGAGGATTTAAAAATAGAAAATTAGCCCTAGCTGGTTTGGCTCCGTGGCTAGAGCGTCGGCCTGCGGACTGAAGGGTCCTGGGTTCGATTCTAGTCAAGGGCATGTACGTTGGTTGCAGGCACATCCCCAGGAAGGAGTGTGCAGGAGGCAGCTGAATTGATGTTTCTCTCTTATCGATTTTTCTAACTCTCTATCCTTTTCCCTTTCCCTTCCTCTCTGTAAAAAAGCCATAAAATATATTTTTAAACACACACACACACAAAAC